GGAATGCCTCCGCGCCCGCGGCGAAACTCGCCGCGTCCGCGAAGATCTGCACCTTGTCCAACTGGTTCGCCAGGTCGAAGAAGCGCAGCTTCGCGCTGCTGCCGGCCACGCGCACCACGCGGCCCGCCAGCCGCTCCGTCGCGCCTTCCGCGCGCTCGCCCGCCGCGAGCCCGCCGAACGCCGCCGCGAACTCGCGGATCGAACGCGTCACCGGGAATGCGTGCGGGTACGTCTCGTTCGCTGGCAAGCCGCTCAACTTGCGCAGCCGCTCCGCGCGGTAGTCTTCTTGCTCACGCTGCTCTGCGCCGTCCGCCTGCATATTTTATAATTTCGCGAAAAAGCTAATTGAGCAGCGCGACCACCACCAGGATCGCGAGCACGCTGAGCGCCACGCCCACCAGAATCAGCGTCTGCAGCGAGAAGAAGCTGAAAAAGCCTTGCCGCGCTGAGTTCTCGCTTTTCAGCTTCATCAACAAACCGCTTGCCGTCGTCGGATCCTCCTCCGCCGCGCTCAGCACCTTCTTCTTCCGCGCGACGTGCCCGCCCACCAAGCCCCTCGTCACGGCCCCTAGCACGCGGTCCGTGGTAAGCTTGCTCTTCACCGCACCTCGGATCGTCTGGGCTTTGTCCACCGCCGCGAAGTGCTGCTTCACCAGCTCCGTCAGCGTCGGGTCGAACGGCACCACGAAGCAGTACCGGCGAAAACTCTTACCTTGAACGCCCGACGAGTCGTCCAGTTCCCACGTGAACGCGGCCGCCAACTGCCCGACCAACACTTTGTCCGACGGGCAGCTCAACTGCTCCGCGTCCTCGCGCTCCTCTGTATCCGGCTCGATGTAGCACCCAAAGCAGTCCGCCGACGCGTCCACCACGCAGTTCACGTCTCTCTCTTCGTAAACCACGCACTCGCGCAGTTTCGCGACTTCCGGATGGATCCACAACTCTTCGCGCTTCTGGTACATCCCTTTCTCAACGTTTATCAGTGCCGACTGCAGCCAGTCCTCGGTGTACTCCGAAGCCGCCGCACACAGCGTCGCGCCGGCCAATACTGCAGATTGCCATAGCATTTTTTTTCGCACGTCTCGTGCACGCGCCCGTAACGACGGACGCATTTTCGCCATGGCCGGCGAAGCCGCGCGCCGACGCGCACTACGCTGCAAAGCGCTTAGTCAGTCAACCGTCAGCCCAACGGCCAGCCCAACGGCCAGCCAAAGACTACGCCACAAAGCGCCGTAGGCATTTCGCTGCTGCGGCCAAGTGCAGGGAAATCCGCGCCAATTCCGCGCCTGAAACGACGGCGCGCCGCGCCGCAAGCACGCGCGCAGCGGCTCCCGCGCGGCGCAGCTAGCTGGCCAAAGTTTGCGAATCGGTTATCGCAGCGCTGCGCAGGCACAAACCCACACAGTCGAGTTCGCGCCTTCCCGCCGAACTTGCTGTCTTCCTACACCCGCCAAAGCGCGCTTCGCAGCGCCATTCGGCGCGAACACAGGTTGCGGCAGAAGAGCGAAGCAGCATCCAGCCCGCGGCGACGCTGTGCCTGCGCTAAATGTTCAGCGCAGACGCGCGCAGATTCGACATCTGCTCCGGCACCAGCTCCGCATCGAACTGGTCTGGCATGTCGGCCAAGTACTCCACCGTGATACTACGCCGCGCGCCGCGCCACTTACCACTCGTTCGCCGCGTAGCTCGCAGTTGTGTACGCCATGTACGCCAGTAGCAGCGTATTGAGCACCAGCACGCTGCCCATCACCACCTTCATCGCTGCACTCTCTCCCGTCGAACCTACTTTTTTTGCTCGTGCCTTCCACGGCAAACAACAACTCGCGCATCGGCTTCGGAAACGTCTTGTAACTGAGTGCAGCGCGCCGCAACTTACTCTCGCGGCAGTTCCTGCTCGCTCAACTCGATCGGTTCTGGCGCGCCGCGAGGCGCGATCGGCTGCACCGCGCTTCCCGCCGGCTCGCGCGCCGCGGGCGCACCCTGCGCGCCGCCGTGGCCCGAACTCTCCTCCAAGATCTCCTCGTTCTTCGCCTCCTGACTCAGCTTCTTGAGGTCCGGCGGCGCTATCTCGTTCAACGCCGTCGCGTGCATCACCTCCGACGCCGGAATCGCGTCGAACGGCGTCGTTGGCCGCCCCGGCGGCGCCGGTAGCATGTGCAGCACGTCCAAGTACTCCAGCGAGAATGAGCCCGTGTTCGCCATAAACAACACCAGCAGCGCGCCGACCGCCCAAGTCATCTTCACGTTCCGCGTGATCGCCGCGCCGAGCGTCGCGATCGCCGCCATCACGTACAGCGCCAAAAACACGTGCCCGACCGCCGCGAACTGCGGCCGCAGGTAGGCCAGGCTGTACGACAAGATCACGCCGGTCTCCAGCAGCACGAACGACGCGAGAAACACGCCCTGCGTTGGCTCGGCGCGCACCTACCGTTCGCAAGCTGAAATATCTCGCAAACTTCTTCGCCTTCCAGTGAAGCTTCAGCATCGGTCGGGCGCTCAGGTAAATTAATTAATGATCATTCCGCGCAAGTTTGCGCAGCTGCGCGCCACTGCCGCATAGTCTGCTGCAACCGGCGCGCAAAAACCGCGCTTACGGTTATTACGCACGGTCGCGCCCGGAAGCGTGTCCGCGTCGCACACGACGCGCGCGATCTCTTGCCACAGAATGTCTGTCCCAGCGCTAGCTCCCAGATGCGTCTAAACCATCCTCTGCTGCTCGCTGCCGCGACGAGCGCCGCGAAAAATCTGTTTCCCGTTGCGCTCCCGGAATTCGAGCCCGTGATCAAGTGCCGCCCCGCCAGCTATGCGCTCGTAAAAGGCGAAAGCACCGCACTCAACCTGCGCTTCCCCGACACGCCGCTCTTCGAGATCGACGCACTCGGACCTGATGAGCTGCGCAACTTGCAGTTCTCGGTGTTCGAGCTCGAGACGCTGATGCGCGTGCCCGAACAAGTCCAGCTGAAGTGCTCGCAGGCCGGCGTGTTCGACTTCCGCTTCCTGGTGTTAACAAACGACAGCGCCACGAAGCTCAAGAATCTCTTTTGGAACGTCTGCCGCGTAACGCTGAACTGCGGCGGCGCGCGCGAGCCGCTGCTGCGCGCCTCCGACGTCAAACAACTCATGCAGCCGCACGAGGCTCCCACTGCCGACTCCTGGCTCGGCGGCGCGCTGCAAAGCCTCCCGGGCGTGCCGGAGCTCCGCGAAGCCGCGAGCGCGCTGCGTCCGCCGCCGCTGCGCGCGGTCGTCGACAAGCTGCTTGAGCTGCCGCTGCTCAATGACCTGTTTTTCTCGAAGACGCGCAACATGGAAGAAATGGTGAAGCTCTCGCAGGAGCAACAGATCAACTCTGCCGACGAGTTTCTGCGGCACGTCCGGCAGTCGCGCCGAAGCCCGTAGTTCGATGCGGTGTGATTGGACACGTTTTTTTTCTCCAACATTTTCATGAGAGCAATCACTCTCGGTTGCGCGCTCTCAGCGGCCGTGCGCTGCGTCACTCTGGAGCGAGACAAGGCGGAGTCGATCTTGGACACCTTCGTCTCGAAAGTCTGCGCGACCGACGCGGAATGCCCGCCGCAGAGTCGCTGCGTGTCGCCGTTCGCGACGCTGACGGCGATCCAGCTGCTGCCGACCTTCGGCTTCAAGCTCTGCCTCACAAAGCTGCTGCCGCAGGGCCAAGTAGTCGAAGACATGAAACACGTCGTCGCGCCCTCAGTCGCCGAAGCGGTGCTCGGTGAGTCGTTCGAAGAGTACGTCACGCACCGCGTAGCAGAGAAAACCACCTTCAAAGTGAGCTGCATCGGCCACCCGCGCGAGATGCTCGTCGGCCAAACCGCGAACCTCGAGGCGCTCGCCGGCGAGGAAGGCTTCTTCCAAGTCACCTCCAACGCCGCGGGCGAGCTTGAGTACGAAGACCTCGACCTAGTGGTCGAGTCGTCTGAGCGCACCGAGAAAATGCTGACCGACTACCACTACAAGTGCGAGCGCGCGCAAGAGGTGCAGCTAGAGCTGAAGGCGTATCTCGCGAACCGCGCAGGCACGCTGCTCGCACAGTCGGACGGCATCTGTCGCATCCCGATAGTCTGCGCAGCGTCGCTGGGCGGCCAAGGATCTACGGAGCCTCCGGGCGTGTTTAGCGACCTAGTTCGCAACCAGCGCGCAGCAGAAGGGCTCAGCGTGCCTGCCGCGCACGCGCGGCTCGCGGAGCTAGCAGAGTTCGCGGCACTACTCAACGAGTCGCGCTACGGCAACCGCGCTCCGCAACCGCTGCGGGCTGAAGCGATGATGCTAGAAGACGAATTTTTGTACGCTTCTCCGCCAGGTAGCTCGCTGCGCGCCAGCGCGGCCGCCGAGCGCCCCGCGCAAGAGCCGCAGCCCATCGCCGCCCCCGAAACTTTTGCGCCGGTGATCAGCTGCAAACCGCAGAAGCTCGAAGCGAAGATCGGAAAGCAGGTGCGGCTGCCGCTGCACAACACGGTATTCTCAGCTGAAGACGCCGAGGAGACGCAGGTGTTTACGAGCGACTCGTCAGACCCAGTGACGGAATTCGTTTACCACTGCACAGCGCCCATCAACACAGTGGTGCACGCGGTGGTCTTTGCGAAGAACGGGTTGATGACCGCGGTGCGCAACTGCCCAATCAGCGTGAAGTGTCGCGAGAACTCGCCGCCGGCGATCACGTGCAAGCACAACCCGCTGATCGCGCGGCTGCGTCAAGCGGAGGGCCGCCAAACGAAGCTGCTGCCGCTGTACGAGGCGGACAACGAGCTGTTCGTCGTGAGCGACTTAGACGGCGACGAGATGAAAGTAGTAGTCCAGCAGGTCGGCACGTCGGAGCCGGTCTACACGATCGAACACGTATGCGACAACGCGGACATTCCGCGCCGCCGCATCCTGGACTACAAAATCACAGCGTTCGACGGATCCGCGATCAGCAAAAGTATTTGCACAATCAACTTCAGTAAGTTCGCCGCGCTGCGTCGTAGTATGCGATTGACCACGCATTAAATAATTTTAAAAACCTGGCGCACGGCGCAATGCGTTGAGAGCGCACTGCTGCGGAAAAATGGCCGAGGGGCTTGCGGAAAACGCGGGCGCCCAGACGTTACCGATGCCGCGCGCGTCCGCCGCGCTGGTGCGGCTCGATCAGCTGGAGAAAGCGATGATCAGCGCGCCGCCAGCGCTCGTCGGCGCGCTCGAAGACTTGCTGGCGGCGCACGACAACTACTTGCAGCTTCACGGCGCGCTGCATCGCGGCGTAGCGGAGGGCGGGGGGGGGGACGAAGGCCCCCCGGGGGGGGGGGGCAGGGGGGGAAAGAGGGGG